GGGGGGGGCCCTTTTTTCATAGAGAAATTCATGCTTGTGTGTTCAGGAGCAGGCTCTGTTTTGTGGTCATACTGAAACTTTAAGACAGGCCAGTGTGTTCCGTGACACGCTATCAGAACGGAAATCGATGTTTTTCACAAAGACACAATCATGTCCTTGTACAAATGAAGGTTACGTTCCATTCCTATGCTTCCTCCTCCTCCTCCGGGGCATCCTGCTCTTTGCACTCTGCTACCGCCTGTTCAGATGTCCCCAGAGTACTAAGTCTGAGGGGCTGCGAAGGGTAAGGAAGGGTAAACACCACTGGCAAAGCTCATTCCAGTAGTGATTGTACCACTCTTCTTGATATGATTGAGCTATTGAATTCTATATGTGGATAATGTGCCAATAAAACTGGGGTCTAGGGGGCGGATTATGCTCATTCCAGGATGTAGGTGGGATTTGAGTGGATTTTGCATTTAGAGACAAGGTCCCACACTGACTGAAGCCTATACATATATAAGTTCAAATATATTTATATTTCAAGTGTCTGGATTGTGGGAACATCTGAAACAAGTTGCCAACTTCTAAAACTTAAGAGATGTCACATTAACAGTCTAGATTTTCAACTTTCCTTCAAAAGCTAGAAGGCCCGGAAACACCAAGCCAGCATCCTAATTGCCAAAGTCACATTTGCACACAATAACATATGCCTTCCATAGGTTGCTGTGGTTGTTGTTGACTTTTCAAGCCATTCAACCCTTTGGGGGGCAGTAGTCACCTATGCTTGCTGTGTTAGTCCGGGTACTCTAGAGAAACAAATCAGAGACACTCATAGGTGTATAAGAAAGAACTTTGTATCAAAGACTAATTGTACATTAAGAAAACATCCCAGCCCAGTCCAGTTCAAGTCTATAAGTCTGATATTAGCCCATAGGTTCGATACCAGCCTATAAATCCACTTCAGACTCACGTAACACATGCAATGATGCTAATTGCAGAAGATCACAGGCCAGTGAGTGGAAAGTCTTGTGGGTACAGTGGTGGTGCAAGCATCTTAGCGCTGGTGTGCGTCTCCACGTGACTCCTCCAGCTCTCTGAGGGTGGCTCCTCAGCAGGAAGGCGAAGCAGAGAAAGGTATAACCCACCTCCAGGGAGACAGAGAGGAAGTTCCCAGAATCCTCATGAGAAGGCCATTCCCACAAGGAGGCATCATCAGGTTGTGACCTGATTGACAGGCTAGCCTCCACCTCGGCACTTATTTATCAAGTTGACATGAAATTATGTAACTACCACACTTGCTATGAACGTTGTATGTGTGGGCATGTTGTTTGCAAAAAACAATAATTTAAGCCCATTTGTTAGCTGCCTGCTAATAATAATAGCAAGTCTCTTATTTTTAAGTGTTTTTTGTTTGTTTGTGTCTAACGTACCAGGAACTATTCTGAACACTAGCTGTCTTTGTGATCTGATCCTTCTCCAACAGAAATACCATAAGTGAGTGGCTTTCACAGACAGATTTAATCTCTCACAATTAAGGAGACCAGAAGTCCAAAATCAGGGTGCCAGCTCCAGGGGAAGGCTCTCTGTTCACTCAGGGGGAAGGTCCTTGTCTCTGCTGAACTTCTGCTCCTTGGTGAGCGTCACATGGCTGATCAGTTATCTTCTGCTCCTCTCGCTTGCTGTTTAATCTCTTTTATCTCTCAGAAGAGATCAACGAGAAACACACTGCTCTCTGATCTTGCTTGATTTATTAACATAACACAGCAAGACATAGCCCATTCCCATTTGGGTTAGAGGTAGGGGTTAGGATTCCCAACACACCTTTTAGGGAGATATAATTCACTCCCTAACACTGGTAACCCATTTTCTCTTCACAAAACTCTTCCCATGTTGTTGTTTTGATTATCCCCACTTTACAACCTGGGGAGACTAATTTGACTTTATGTATGTGGTTAAGAGATTGGGTCAGTTCCACAAACTCTTTCATAAAGTAAGTAGTGTGACTGGGATTCGGTTCAGTCTGAACCAAAGCCTGAACCTTTAGCCACTGTGCCGTGTTGCCTCTCACTGCACCCACAGTCTCTCCAGTTTATAAAACTAACACCCTGCTCCCCACTGACCATATCCTCTTCTCCACAGCCCTCGCGAGCAGGCAATGTCCTCCAGGTGCGTGAGGTCCATACCTGTCCTGTGGGGTACCCAGTGGATGTCTATGACAATGCCTTGGTGCCCCAGATGTGTGCCACCCTCCCTCTCTCAGCATACTACATCAATGCCAGCGCTTCCAGGGATGACTTGAGCATTTCTTCAGGGGAGTCCAGGGATTATGTCAATGTGCCCAGAGCGGAAGAGATGGTGGAGAACACAGCTTCCAACTCCCCTGGGAACCTCTTTGTCCTTCCAAGTACACAGGAGTTGGACGTGGCTGAAAAAAGAGACGCGCGTTGTGTGGCTGCCAGCGACTGCACCAGATGTTGGTCTGCAGGAACCAACAATCGTGATGAGGAAAGTTCTTCTCAGACGTCAAATGACTATGTCAACATGTCAGAATTGGATGTTGGAGTCACCCAAGGGGAGCAGCCCTGGATGACTTTTCAGAGCTACCGAGATTATGAAAATGTTCCAGCTGCAGATGCCAATGGCTCCCAGCTGCAGGTGGAGGAAGAGATGACGCCTTTCAACACAGACCTTGCAGGCAGCAGCAGAGATGCTCTGGGAGCCCACCTTCAGCCTGCCCGGCGGTCAGGTGGCTCCCTTGTTTTCTTGGATCACGGGGCCTTTCAACCATTGACAGAGTCTGGGACTAGTCAGATGAAGCAAGAAGAGACGTCAAGTGAGGACGATAGTGACTATGAGAACGTGCTTCCTGCCAATCTAGTGGGCAGGGACTCTGAGTAAGGGCTGGGCACATGGCTCCTTCCTGATGAATCAAGACATAGCCAGCCAGCTGGAAAGCCGAGCGGAGTGCTTTATCCTGCGGGATCCACCGCCACCAGAGTCTAGTGGTGACTTGTGACCACTCTAGTGTCTCAGTGGACTCACTGGGTTGGGCTCAGAAGAGGCTGGGAAGAGGAGGGGACAAAAGACTAAGAGAGAGCAGAGGCTCGGGGAGGCTAGACAGCGATTCACCCTCGCACCCCCAAACATAACTCATCTATCATACAATTCAATAGTTTGATATTAAGAAGAGTTGTACAGTCATCACAAGCAATCTTAGAACATTTTCACATGTTCTTCATTCTTGTTCTCACCCTTATTAGCTCCGCATTTCCCTGCAACCCCTCTGCCACCTCCATAGGGACCAGTAATCCAGTGACTATCGCTGTAAAGTTACCTCTCCTGGATTTCACGTGCAGAAAACGTTAATAAACACACACAACAACTAGCAAGCATAACAAAGTAAAACAGAATAACAAAATAAAAACCTCAATGGAAATGAAAGCAGAAAATATTAAAAACTAGACCAAATTTAAGTGGATCATAAGGGAGATCAAGCGATAACGTGCTAAATTTTAACCTAACTACATCTGCAACAATCCCCCTTCTGGTACACTTGGCATGTTAGCAAGGCTATTCACATCTCTGGTCCACAGATAGCAACTCTCATCAAGTAAGGGGTTGTCATTTATTATCCCAATCCCCCCAGTTGGGCTGTTGGGAGATCAGAAATGGGCTAGTACTTGGGTGCACAGGGGAGACAGTCATCTGAAATCATGGCCTTCACTGACACCCCGCTGCACAGCAACAGTGCAGATATTTATGCAATCTAGGCAGGAACCCCAGGAAGGAAGAAGTCAAGGATGGGGGCTTTCCGCTTTCAAAACAACACACAAACTGCAGAAAACCAAATGCCAGTTTCTGCTGGTTTGCATAGCTGTTAGCAGCAACTTGGGACAACTATTGGGCAGTTTCTTATAAAACTAAACACATGCTTACCATATAACCCTGCCACTCCACAACTCGGTATGACCCAGTGCCCATACACACGTAGATTAACACTTGCAGCAATTTTATTTATAATTAATTGCCCCAAACTAGAAAAATAACTCAGACGACCTCTACGGGTGAGTGGCTACACAAACTCTGCTACATGCTACGCTGGACTAGAGTCGGGGGATACAGTATGAACTCAGCCTTAGCTTAAGAGAAATATACAGATAGAGAGATACAGAAATAAATGGGTTTTGTGTGCATGCATGGGTTAGTACATGCATATGTTTCCTAGCTTTGTGCCCTGGGGAGGCCTGGGACCATGACGCCCCAATAGCAACAAGCACCCATAGCCCTTAGGTCTTGGTTTCAAAATGCCCTGCTACAATCAAAGAAGTATTAGTTCTTTCAATAATATGAATGAAACTGTTAATTTTTAACAGACTATTTTTTTAAGAGCAGTTTTTGGCTTAGGAAGAAATGGTGAAAAAAGTATAAAACGTTCCCATATACCTACCCCCTGTCCCTCTGGATACTGCTTCTTTTATTATTAAAAATATGGTGTCTCCTAGATGCAACGTGCTAAGCAAAAGAAGCTAGACAGAAAAGTCTACCTGTGGGGTGGTTCCATTCATGTCACATTCTGGAAAAACACAATCATGGGGAGAGAAAACAAGCATGGGGCTGGCATGGGTTTCGGGAGGCGGGGGAAGGATTTACTTCCAAGGACTGCAGAAGGGAATTGGGGCTGGCCGGCGGGTTCTGCATTAGCAGCCTGGTGGCTCAGCGGGTCCGTGCTCAGTTGCAGACTGAAAGGTGCGCTGTTGACAGGGCTGTGCAGGAGAAAGATGTCGCAGTCTGCACCCACCAGGATTGCTGTCTTGGGAACCCTGCCTGGCAGCTTTACTCTGTTCGGCAGGGTGGATGGGAGTCGGAGCAGATGCAACAAAACAACAGATCTGATCTTTGTGCGGTTTAGACCTGTCTGGGATGGTGCTGTGTATGGTAAGAGACAGATGACTCCACACATCTGTGAAAGTACTAAGAAATGTACACCACCAAGAATGACTTTGACTCTCCTAAAACTAAAACATATACATAACTAAATAAAACAAAGCCATCACAGTGCGACTGGAGCCTAGACGGAAATGCAGATTGGGATAAATGACTCTAACTCTTTTATAAATATATGACATCATTCACTGAAGTGGGTGGGAGGAAATGAATTGATCCATCTTATAGGGCCCAACAGTAAGGAAACATAAAAAAAAAATTGGGAACAGAAAAAAGAAATGAGGGCTTGTGAAAAGAAGCCAACTGAAAGAGTTTCCAATGATGAAGCCTGAAGAGCAATAAATAAATATATATATATATTCATCATATAAATACATTTATAATATTGATTGATTACCCAAAGAATAAACTCAATACCCACGAGCCCACACCAATACAAATAAAAGACTGAACAATAAATAAATTGGGAGGAAACGGGCACATCTTCCTTACAGATGAATTTCAAATCTTAAATGGAGATGAGGGATGGAGGGGGAAGGCTTCCCAGCTGTAAATTGAAGGGAAATTCTGGTGCACGCTACAATATGAATGCGCTTTGAAAACTTCTTGCTCAGGGAAATGCCAGACCCGAAGGAATCCACACTGTATGCTCCCACTATGTGAAATGTCTAGAGCAGACAAATGCCTACAAGCAGTTTGTCAGGGTTCCCAGAGTAGGTGGGAGGGGGACAGGAGGAACGACAGTGAAAGGGGCATGGAGTTTTTGTCCAGGGTGATGACAGAAGGTGGGCACAGAGTGGCAATGTTACACATAATGATGAATGTAATTCATGTCACTGAACCGCGCTGTAGAAATTGTTGAATGTCAAACGCTTTGTTACATATATTTGAATCATGACTTATAAACGGAGGAGGAGGAGGCACCATTCGGACAGCACCTTCATAATAGTTAGCAGCACGTCTACTAGGGAAAGCTAAAATCCATGGGTGGCTCTTTAAGGAGAAACAGGACAACTACGCTGCCTTGAAGACTCCCCCCACAAACCTTGATTCATTTGTGAGGGTTTTGACCCAGATCTACAAATTTTTCAAAACTTTCCTCTCCAGCAAGTGGAGCTTGGTTTTCCTCTCCTTTAAGTGTGGGCTGGATGTCTTGAGTCGTTTTTAATCAACAGAGTATGGGAAAAAAGGAAAAATAGTAACTCGACAGTAGAGACAGTAGGCAGACATCACTTAAACCAAATGATCGAGGTTCACATCACGTGTGATAAGTCAGTGTTAACATCGCTGCACCTCGATGGTCGTCTTCCCCCAAACCTGTCACCCAGTCTAATCGTGAAAGAAAGAAGCATCAGAAACCCAATGCGAATGACATCGTCAGAATTCCCGACCAGAGCCCTGCCAAGGTGCCAAGGTAACGAGAGACCCTAAACTGTCCCAGACTGACCGACTGCAGGAGAGGAAGAAGACGGGGGACTCAATGCAACATGGTACTCGGGTTGCTTCATGAACTAGCAACAGGAAAGCTGATGAAATGCAAATCAAGTCTGTATTTTAATGCATGAGGTTGTAGTTAGGTGCCATCAAGTCAATTCCAGCTCACAGTGGCCCGTGTGACCCCGGACAGCTATCCCATGGCTTTCCAGACCAGCATCTTTCCTGGAGCGGATTGCCAGAGTGTGCGCCTACAGAGCCTCAGATTGCCACCTGCTTCCTAGCCAAGTGCTTACCCATTGTGTGCCCAGGCACCTTAATAATGCCAATGGCAGTATCGCCAATGTCTATTCCTTCCTGGCAGTAACGCCAGTGTCAATTCCTTCCTTTTTGATAAGGATGAGACTTGGTGATGTAAGATAGGTATACCAGGTATACGGATCTCTGTACTATCTTTGCAACAATTCTGTACATCAGAAATTATTTCAAAATTAAAAAAAAAAATAAGGCGTGGACAAAGATGAGAGTGAAGAAGTCTGGGTACACTTCACTTCAGCAAAAGAAAGCCATTCTGTGCCTCTGTTCCTTCTACAAAATGGGGATCACATCAAGCATAGGTAGTGTGATTGGCCTCGTATTTGCTTTCTCTACTGTTTTATTAACATTCATACCCAGCCTCCCCTCTCACTCTGCAATCACTTTGCCTGCTGGCAAGTTTTATTCTGATTCTTTGTGGATAGCCTGGCTTCTATCTATCTAGCACAGCACCCAAGACCAAGGCAGGTATTCCTCACTGATTGAGGATGTGGTACGAGTTCTCAGACTTGTACCATGAGACATGGAGTGCAGGGTTTTTTCTGCTGTTCTAGACTTGGGGCTCAGGCCAAAAGCTGAGGTTAGAGTGCCACCAAGTGCTAGGGGTCAGCCAGCTGGCTCTGACCTACAGGGGTTACTAAGTGAAAGGGACTATCAAGGACTGCTCTTTCCGGTGTCCCACTCTTGATTGCTGTGAGAAGACTAAGAGGTGATCCAAGTTAGTCTTTGGGGATTGTGCTGGTCGGAAGGTAAACTTTGTCCTCCTTCACTGCTCCCCTGGGAGATCCCCCTGTAGTGTGCTTCAGGAGCTCTGGTGGATCGATGGTTAAGGGCTCCACTGCTACCAAAAAGTCAGTGGTTAAAACCCACCGGCCACTCCATGGGAGAGAGACTAGGTGTTCTGCTCCCATAAAGACTGTAGACTAGAACATTCTGTAGGGCAGTTCTACTCTATCCTAAAGGAGTGCTGTGAGTTGGAATCAATTCCACAGCACACAACAACAACAAGCACTGTGCTTAATACCCATCTCCCTAGGGAAGAAGAGCATGTTGTCAGAACTAAGAGAGAGGTGGTGAGGAAGCAGCTGGCTGCCTGCTCTAGGACATGGCAAGGAGAAGTGAGTACCAGAGGATGGTGACTGGGTGTAGTCATTGTGTTAGTCCAGATAGACTAGAGAAACAAATCCAGAGACACTCATATATGTGTAAGAAAAAGCTCTATATACAAGAGCAATTGATAGGCACTCATATGTGTATAAGAAAAAGCTTTATATCAAAGAGTAATTGTATATTAAGAAAGCATCCCAGCCCAAGTGCAGATCAAGTTCATAAGTCTGATATTAGCCCATATGTGTGATACCAGCCTATAAATTCCTCTTCAGACTCACACAACATATGCAATGACACCGAATACAGGAAGATCACAGGCCAATAGGTGGAAAGTCTTGTGGATCTAGTGGCTGTCGAAGCATCTCAGCACTGGTGTGGGTCTTCACCTGGCTCCTCCACCTCCAGGGTTCTGGTTCCATTAGCATGGCTCCATGTGTCTTGTCATGGAAGACCAAGCAGAGAGAGTATGTGTCCCACCTCCAGGAAGGAAGATAGGAGTTCCCAGAATCCTCAGGAGAAGGCCATGCCCACACAGAGGTATCATTGGCCTGATTGCAAGGCTAGACTCCACCCC